TGGGAGACCGGAAGAGTCTTCCAAATTGCTGCAGAAATGAGAAGATACAACCTGGAGGTGCTTGAAATCAGTGAAACACTTTGGACACAGGTAGGACAACGACTATCCTCAGGGGAACTTCTGTTATACTCCGGTCATGAAGAAGAAAATGCCACACATACACAAGGAGTGGCATTGATGCTGTCCAGAAAAGCACAAAATGCACTTATAGGATGGGAATCTCATGGACCAAGGATCATCAAAGCCTCCTTCAAAACAAAGAGAGAGGGCATTACAATGAACGTCATCCAATGCTATGCGCCTACCAACGACTACGACGAAGACGCTAAAGACCAATTCTACGATAGGCTGCAGTCGATCTTCGAGAAGTGCCCAACCAAACACCTGACCATTCTGATGGGAGATCTCAATGCCAAGGTTGGAAAGGACAACACTGGATATGAAGACGTCATTGGACAACATGGACTGGGAGAAAAGAACGAAAATGTTGATAGATTTGGAAACCTATGTGCCTTCAATAAACTGGTCATAGGTGGCACCATATTTCCACACAAAAACATACACAAAGCCACTTGGATTTCACCGGATCACACTACACAGAATCAAATCGACAATATCTGCATCAACAAAACGTTCAGGAGGACGATGGAGGATGTGAGAACCAGAAGAGGATCTGATATAGCATCCGATCATCATTTGCTGGTCGCCAAGATCAAACTAAAACTCAAGAAGCACTGGACAGCGGTGCGGACAACATCACAAAAGTTGAATGTGGCCTTTCTTCGAGATGTTGACAAACTCAACAAACTCAACATAGCCCTCAACAACAGGTTTCAGGCCTTTCATGATCTACTCAATGGAGAGGGGACTACCATGGAGAGCAACTGGAAAGGTATCAAGGAGGCAATCGTTTCAACATGTCAGGAGGTTCTGGGCCAAAAGAAGCCCCATCACAAGGAATGGATCACTGTTGGTACACTGGATAAAATTGAAGAAAGAAGGAACAAGAAGGCAGCAATCAATATCAGCCGAACCAGAGCGGAAAAAGCCAAGGCACAAGCCGAATACACAGAGGCAAACAAGCAAGTGAAGATTAGCATCAGAACCGACAAACGTAAACATGTGGAAGATTTGGCGATGACAGCGGAAAAGGCTGCAAGAGAGGGAAACATGAGACAACTGTATGATACAACAAAGAAACTTGCTGGAAATTACCGTAAGCCAGAAAGACCAGTGAAAAGCAAGGAAGGAAAAGTAATCACCGACATTGAAGAACAACGAAACAGGTGGGTAGAACACTTCAAAGAACTCTTGAATCGACCAGCTCCACTGAACCCACCCAACATCGAAGCAGCACCCACAGACCTCCCAATCGATATTGGCCCACCAACAATTGAAGAGATCAGCATGGCCATTAGACAAATCAGGAGCGGCAAAGTAGCTGGACCAGATAACATCCCGGCAGAGGCACTGAAAGCAAATGTAGCAGCAAATGCCAAGATACTCCACATCCTCTTCAGTAAGATTTGGGACGAAGAACAAGTACCAACAGACTGGAAAAAAGGACTTCTGATCAAGATACCAAAGAACGTCGATCTCAGCAAGTGCGACAACTACAGGGGCATCACTCTCCTCTCAATACCAGGAAAAGTCTTCAACAGAGTATTGTTAAACAGGATGAAGGATTCCGTGGACGCCCAACTTCGAGATCAACAAGCTGAATTTCGTAAGGATAGATCGTGCACAGATCAAATGGCAACTCTGCGGATCATTGTGGAACAATCAATCGAATGGAATTCATCACTCTACATCAACTTCATCGACTACGAGAAGGTATTTGATAGCGTGGACAGGACGACACTATGGAGGCTTCTTCGACACTATGGCGTGCCTGAGAAGATAGTCAATATCATACGGAACTCCTATGATGGACTAAACTGCCAAATCGTCCACGGAGGACAACTCACCGACTCGTTTGAATTAAAAACCGGTGTAAGGCAAGGTTGCTTACTCTCACCCTTTCTCTTTCTCCTGGTGATCGACTGGGTCATGAAGACGTCAAAGACTGGAGGTAAGCGCGGGATACAGTGGACAGCTAGGATACAGCTGGACGATTTGGAATTCACAGATGAACTGGCTCTTCTATCACACACACAACAACAAATGCAGGAGAAAACAACCAGTGTAGCAGCAGCCTCAGCAGCAGTAGGTCTCAATATAAACAAAAGGAAAAACAAGACTCTCCGATACAATACAATATGCACCAATCAAATCACACTTGACGGAGAAGCTTTGGTGGATGTGGAAACCCTTACATATCTAGGCAGCATCATTGATGAACACGGAGGATCAGATGCAGATGTGAGGGCGAGGATCGGCAAAACAAGAACAGCACATTTACAACTGAAGGACATCTGGAACTCAAAACAATTGTCAACCAACACCAAGGTTAGAATTTTCAATACAAATGTTAAGACAGTTCTACTGTATGGGGCGGAGACATGGAGAACTACGAAAGCCATCATACAGAAGACACAGGTGTTTATTAACAGTTGTCTACGCAAGATACTTCGGATCCGATGGCCAGACACTATCAGCAACATTATACTGTGGGAGACAACAAACCAGATTCCATCCAGTGGAGGAAGAAATGAGGAAGAAGCGCTGGAAGTGGTTTGGGCACACTTTGAGGAAATCACCCAATTGCGTCACAAGACAAGCCCTCACATGAAATCCTGAAGGTCAAAGGAGAAGAGGAAGACCAAATAACACATTACGCCGAGAAATAGAGACAGGCATGAGAAGAATGAACAAGAACTGCATAGAACTAGAAAAGAAGGCTCAGGACAGAGTGGGTTGGAGAATGCTGGTCGGTGGCCTATGCTCCATTGGGAGTAACAGGCGTAAGTAAAGTAAGTAAAGCCTTTCAAATAACCACTTTGGTAGACAGTGTTATTCAAACAGTAACGACTTTTAGATAACTTTGTATTGTTATTATCATCATGTCTGTATGAGTATATATGCATGATCACGTGTTACACCGTACATGAATAATCCTCCTACTAGCTTGTGTCGGTTGCTTAAATAACTTGATGACTGACTCACTTACTGGTAATATATATGCTTCTTAAATCGTAATAATTCATTCCACTCGCACTTAAACTCCGTTCATATTCGCTTTTTTTGATTGTTACTTTGTGATCTGCGTTGTACGATAATAAACTTTAGTCAACTTTTTCTATTGTCTTCTAAAATTTGTACGCTGTTGAGAGTTATCTAGTAATGGTTATCAGAACGATTAGCATACAAAGCATTAGGAATTATTCTAAAAACATTTCACAACATACCTAACTTATCTACTAAATATCTTTCTGTCTATTGACTGCATACAAAAAAGAAGCGGCTAATTATCGTAATTTATACAATCATTACACTTGAATAAGTTCTCCTTTTTGCTTTAAATATTTATCCAGTCTGAATGTAATCAGATTAATATTAAATATATCTCTAGCTAGCTAACCACATGAACTTTTGTTTATGTTCTCAAAAATCTGTATTTAATTATAATATATAATCACTTGTTTATCACTTTTTATTTATTAGACATACTTTTTTCAATTACTTCTCATTAATATCGGAAGGGGTTTTGTGGAGATTATAATAATTTTAATAATTGAGATCATTAATCAATTGAAGCTAGACCACCATGGAAAACCTGGAAACACTGTCCTATTATGGGACTCCTCAGCAGTCCAGGTTTTCCATGGTAGTCTAGCTTCAATTGATTCATCATCTCAACTATTAAGATTATTTTTTATTACTTTAGATACAATTTACAATCAACCATAAAACCCATTAAACTAATACCTTTATTTTTTTAAAATCATGTGACGGAATTAGTTGATACCAAATTTTTTCCCTTAGAAAATAAATAAAATTCATAAGTAAATAAATAAAATATTTATTTAGTTATTTACATTGTTCTAGAAAAATTCTTTGTACAAATGAGACAAAATAAAACGAGACTCTTACTAATTGATAGAGAATAATTTGCTTTCTTGCTTTTATTCCTTCTTACAAATGATAATTTCTATGTTGTCCGGAATGAAATGATTCATAATTATAAAATTGCTTTCTTAGAAAATACGTTTCACCTAACTATGTCATACTAAACTATAAAATAAAAACTAAACATACTACAATTTGTAAAATCCTTAATGTTTCCTTTTGACAAAAAAACAAAAAAAATGATTATCTAAGCAGTAATGACAAAACCAAGAGTAAGATTACAACAATTTGAAAAAAAGGAAAACGTCATTAAGAAAACAAAAAGTTTGAAAAGATTGTTATGGTAAATGTGTATGCATGTGTGGATCTGTGTGTACGTCCAGAATAGTGAAAACAGAAGAGAGGAAAGTTCAATTGTATATACAGAAATTAGAAGTGCTAATTTTTCACAAACAAAAAGACCCATATATGGTTGATCCATATGTACACAAATGTATTTCTAAAAGATATGTACGAATATATATATAATTAGGGATAATTTCTTTATAAAAATGATAATAAAATGATTTAAAAAAATAAATTTTTTTATACAAATCACAGAATACAAAAGTTGAAAATTTACTTTCTCATTTCATCATCTATAATAATAAACACATTTATAAAGATTTAATTTAATCCTTTGATAATTTATATTGATCAAAATTATTTTTCTACATAAAAAAACTTCTACATACCGAAACCCCTCTGTTTAATGTATATGCTCTTTTTTTTAAATAATTTCAGATTTATAAGAACTTTCGTCTAAATTAGAGCGAATAGTTTCACAGTATTTGAGCGCCGAGTTGATGTAAGACATTAAATAGGAATAATATATATATTTGTAAAATCTCAGCGAATGAATTTGTAGTAAATCCAACGTTTCGCCTGGCAAACTGGTCCAAGCATTTTCAAAGAATTCCTTGATTTTACAAATATATTATTCCTATTTAATTTCAGTTTTTATTTTGTATATTAATTAAAAATGTAAGTACATTTGTTAAATCCATTAATGCATGTAAATCGATTAGAAAAAATTTTAACTTTTTCACTATAACATTTTGTTGTGTATTTGCTAATTTCCATTCTTTATTATAATGATATGATTGATGTTGAGATATATTTTTTTGATTATTATTATTATTTATAAAATTTGATGATAATAATGAAGAAGGTGAAGAAGAAGAAGAAGATGGACAGTAATTCGATTCTTTCATTTGATTAATATATCGTTTTGATAATAAATCTTGATTTGTAAAAGATTTAGATGTTGTTGTATATGGTTGTAATGTATTTATATCTTCAGTATAAACAAGAAAAAATATTCCATTTTTATCACCACCATATGATATAATATTTTTATATAATATTGATTTTATACAATAAATTTTTTTTGATTCTATAATATTGATTTTATTGAATATTTCTAAATTTGTTAATTTATATATACCACATGTTAATAAATTGATTTTTTCATCTTGTGGTACAATCCATATAAATTGATTTTTATTTATTGATGTTAAATTATTTATACGAGCAATATATGCCGAACATGCAAATCTATATGAGAATAAATGTTTTAAATGTTTTAAATAATTAAAACAAGCATAAAATGTAGCTAAATCTATTTGATTTTCATGATTTTGTTTATTTATTATATTATCATTTTTATTAGTAGTATCTATATTTATTTTATGAGAATTGAAATGAAATTTTGAATTTAATGAACATTTAGTTAATTTTGTCCAACGATCTAATATGATTAATTTAAGTTGTATAAATGATTGTGAATCAATTGAATGATTATTATCATTATTAGAGGAAGAAAATGACGATGATGATAACCAATGAATAGGAAAATAATTTTTTATTAATTCATTAAATGTTATATGTTCATGACGTTTTTGTAATTCTGAATAATCATAATAATCAGCACGACATAAATAAACAATTAAATCAATAAAATCAATACCATATATTGGTATTTGATATTGATTTGATAATATACTAGAATGTATTTGATGAACAATAAAATTTAATAAAAATATATTTGATTTATTTAATATTAAATTACGTAAAATTTTCCATTTAAATGTTTGTACTTTAAATAAAAGTTTAACTGAAATTTGATCAATTCTAATTGAATCAATTTGTTGTTGTGATTGTTCTTGTTCTTGTTTTAATTGATTATTATTGAATAAATATTCTAATGTAAATTGTTCATGCATAGAAATAATATCACATATTTTCCATTGTGGATTTAAATAAATATGTTTAGATTCTATAACTGATTCACCTAAACATAAATATATACCAAATAGAATTGCATGTTTACAACTGATTTCATGAAATCCAAGTTTTTCAATAATTTGTATTTGTAAATCTTGTATTGTAGAACTACCATGAAAGTTGACTACTTCATAATTCGATCCAAATGGTAAGTAAATTGGCAATGAGAAAGGATATACATGAGTGTTAGGATTACGAATAGATATAGTGAACACTTCTAAAACCGAGGGATATTGATCGCGACCACCATATAGTTTAGTTCGGTTTAATGTGTCACGACAAAATGCTGCATAGCCAGCGATTTCTGTGAAATATCTTATTTTCAATTGTACACTTTCTGATTTCCCTTTCTCGTATGGATCAATTTCATTGGATGATCCTGTTGATGTAATTAAACGCATTGGATCCATGTATAACTTGAAAACTTGTTGAAGACATTCTACAACTGGATCGGATGGTAACATAAATGCTAAAAATAAGCATAAACATTCCCACATTGCTATAGAAGGCCACCAATGTTCTGGTTTTCGATTATTATTCAAATTAGTTAGTGGTATAATTAGTTTAGCTATCGGTGACGATGTCAGTTGAGATGTAACTTCAGATAATGATTGTTTATACCGATTCCCAATTTGAAGATAAAAAGTACTCCCTTCACTCTGTTTAAAATTATTACAATATTTCAAATGACTAGTGATAATGTTTGATTCATCTGTTAATTCTTGACTTTTAGTACATGTAAGTACTGCGAAAGTACGTTTTATAATTTTATTTTTAAATAAAATTATATAAGCATCTTTTGGTATTTGTTTTGTATGTATACCAGAAAAAATGACCTGTTTAATTAATTGTAAATAAAGTTCATCTTTTAAAATGGGATATTTTGTACAAAAGTATACTAATTGTTTCACAATTAAGTATTTTAATGTTAACCATTGTGAACTACTGATTAAACTGTTCAATGGGATTTCCATAGTACGTGAATTTGAATTTTCAATTAAATCAATTTGTGGATGACAAAGAAATAGTAAATGATTAAATAATCGTAAACTAATCTCAGTGTATTCAGTTGATATAGTTTTTGAAATAGGCTCTTTAATTGAAACAATAGAATGATATAAATTATTTATATGTGATGAATTTACTAGTTGTTTCCATATTTCTCGAATATTTTCAAATAATTTAAGGGATGATGATGCTGATGATGACAATGGTGACTTTTGTATGTCACTAGGATCAATAATTGTGGGAGAGTGTAACGTCGCTCGAATTAGACTATCTCTCCACTGTTCACATTCTTCAACCGTAGGACATAATAAATAAATAGGTTCATGTTCCGGTGTCCATATTTTAATTGTCTGCTGTCTTTCTTGATTTAATTTTGAACAATTTAAACTAATCAAAAGGGAATCTGAGTCTGAACTAGATGTAAGTAATTGGGCTGAATCATGAAAATCTGTGGATATACTGGATAGTTTATTTGTTCTTTGTGTTACTCCGCGCTCTAGGCTAGATGTTTGATTACCAATTACATGTATATATGAATTTTTTAAATTTTTACAACCAACTGGAACTGTACTCTGTGGACTTAATGAATAAATCAAATAAAAACCGGCTAGACGACACCAAAACCATGCAATCTGACCTTTTCTTACACGTTTCAACCAACCCTCTTTAGTAATTTGTGATTTATATTTATTCAGTATCTGTTCAGCTTCATTGATTCGAAGCATATTTTTTATCAAACTTAACCACTTCGTCGTTTCTTGACTAGTTACACCGCGTAGTCGATACACCCTTTTATCATGTAATACCAATTCAAAATATTTTTCTACACGAATTTTAGGCATACTTTCAATATATGTAAATTTTCGTGAAACTGGTGCACTGACATTTGGACGTGTTTCTATATTGTTACGTATAGTTGACATTGTTGCTGTTGTTGCTGATCCAGATGATATTAATAATAATGAATCATTTTTAGGTAAACTTGTACACATTAATTGATTTATTGATGTTGACATGTTTGTTGGACGACGAACATTATGAATATCTGTATAAAGAATAACTTTTTTTGGTTGATTTATTATTGTAGATTGATTCAATGTAATTGTTGATTGATATTGATGCAAAAATAAACCTTTCGATGTAAGTATACACCAATAATGATGCCATATTTTTAAATGATTATTTAATTTTAATAAAATACCTGAATAATTCTCACATATTAATGATTTATTTATATCATTAAATATGGATAAATTATCAAATAAATTAGATTGTTTTAATAAATTCATTTGATTAGATGATTCAATAGTATTTAATTTTAAATTATATAAATTATTTGATAAATTTTCAAATTGTTTTAATGATTTAATGGATAATGAATCATTTGTTTTATTTAAATCTATTGCCGAAAATTGATTTACACTAATAGTTTGATAGAAACTTAATTCAGAATTTGTTTCACTTGATTGATCATAATTTATTATGGTATTATTATTTTTTGTTTGTTTTATTATTATAATAGGCATTAAATGTATTAAATTTAATTGAATATTTTGTAATAAATATGAATTATTTGATATACATGTAAATACATCAATAAATTGAATAAATTTTGAAAAATATTTTAAAGCTAATTGATTTTTTTGATTAATTAATAAATAATTTAAATCAATACAAAATAAAGTTTCTAAATTAGTATTTAAAAAATCATTTATTGATCCTAGATTTAATTTTATATATGATAATCGATCTTCTAATGATGTTGATGTTGATGATTCAATCATTGATTGGTTAAAAGATAAATGATTCATTGAAACATTATATGTTGATTGATTTATATTTGAAGATATATTATGTTTTGTAGATTGTATATTTTGTTCTATTGATTTTTTTAAATGAGATATTATACTACAATTGATTGATTGATTATTATTATTATTTAAAGTAGTTGTTTTATTATTTTTAATATGAGATAATGATGATTGTAATAAATTATTTTCAGATTTTTCAGTTTGACTCATTGAACTACTTGTATCACTAAATTGTAAACATTCTTTTGGTTCACATAAGTGTTTTCTTGATATGTGAATTTTTGGTGGACCATTAATCAGGTTATTTTTGTTTATAGATATCATACTATTTTTATTTTGTGATTGTGGTGTATTTGAACTAAAAGTAGTTGGATTGGAAACTTCAGAAATATTAGATCCTCTCATGTTTGAACTATTTTGTTGATGAATACTTTTACGTATTCCACCCGAATATAGTGTAGAAATATTGCTTGAATCAAGTATTGTATTGATTTTTGAAGAAAGTTTTGATTTCGTTGTATCATCTTTCATCGATTTTAAGAAATCGTTTTTAGACATCCAATTTTTCGGGGTAACTGGTGAGACTGGTAAGGATGTAGACTGATTATGCATGTTATTATAATAATTTAAGTTAATTAACTGTTCATTATCGCACATTTCATGGTTGTTGATGATCATAGAATCACTTGATGAGTCATACGATTCAACAGAGAGTGAACTAGAGAATCTTTCGTTACGTGTCGGGATAACTCTTCTCATACGAGATGATAATGTTCTTCGTTGAATCCCAGGTTTCGGTGATGGACTAATCGATGATGTGCTAGTGTTATAGTAACTTTCACTATTGTTATCGTTGTCATCATGATGGGCTTTATCATCCGGTCGATAAATCGATAATTCCTCAGGCGAAAGTGGTAAATATTTTTTAGATTGTTTTATTTCCTTCTCAAATTTCATAAATGATTGCTTATTATCAACTTCATTTTGATTCATCACGGTGTTTTCTTTATGTGTTGATTGTTCAGTGATTAGTTGATTTGTGATACACCTATCATCATGGGCTAATGTTTTTTGTTCAGTGTAAAATAATTCTGATAGATCTGAATCATTTACATCATTCAAAGGATTTTTATTTAAACAAATATCATCGTAAGCATCGGATAAGCTTGAATATTCACCTAAACTAAATCCACTTAATGATTCGAGTAAACTTCTTTTATCTGACACATCATCAAAACAAGCGATTGGTGCATGTTTCAATGATGATTTCTCACTATACCGATGAATATTACCTTTCTCTTCAACTAATGCTTGTTCACTCTGGTTAACACATGAAAATGATTGATTTTGTTGTTGTTCTTCACCTCTGTTTTCATTGTTCGAATGTTCATTTTTGTTAATAGTTTGATCTGTTGTCAACCGTTTAAGAATATGAGCCAATTGATGTTCAAGACTAATTTTCTCTTTTTCCAATCTTTGATTACGTACTTCTAATTGATGAAGATGAGCAACCATTGCAGCATTTAAACTTCTATTCTTACTCTGTTGTATTCCATAAGGAACAATATCTACTGTTGTATTAATTCTGGCATATTCCATTGGACAACCACTTGTACTTAATGTTGTTGCAGTTGTCAACTGGATACGTTGTAGATTATGACCCAGTGAAGAAGTAATATGATTTGATACTATTTTCAAACGATTATCATTAATATTGTTCTTATTATGTTTATTATATGTTTTAAATCGTTGTTTATCAAGTAATAAATCATGTTGACAAGTTTCATTATCTTTATTAGATTGTGGATAATTTGAAGACATTCGTTTCTGTTCAAAATCAAAATATACTAATTAATCCATTTCAAATCAAATGGAAATACTATCATTTTATCATTTTTTTAAAACAAAAAAATATAAATGTATAGTATACACCGTTGTCCTTTTATGTTCATTAGTTTATGTGTCATGTACAAGTGTGTGTATTTATGTATATATATATATATATATAATATGTAATATGTAATAAATATCCACTGATTATTTGTGTTTACTTAATTAAAATCCATTTTCAAAGAAGACATTTCCGTAGAATCCCTTATGACTTTCATTATATTTTGTCATTTGTAAAACAGGAGACATTGTTATAGTTGTGTAGTTCTACTATGATGTATGGGTGTATTTGTCTTTATTTTCTTTTTGATGAAAAAGATATAGTATACATTCCACAAAAACTAAGGTCATCAATGAAACTATGGTTACATATATATATACAGGTTTATCATTATCATTATTTTACATTAACAAAAATTACAGACACACGTATTAATACATGTTTTGACGATGTGACACTTCTCTAATAGAAGCAGACAAAGATGGATGAACAAACATCCATATATATATATATATATATGCGCACACTTAATAAACGGTTCCCCTTCAACAAACTAGCCAAACATAATTGAAGAAGAGATAGACAGGTCGTATCTAAAATTAGATTACACTTCACATTTGTGTAGAATGACAAACACATTTTTTATCTCGGGAAATGAATAGAACGAACTCGGTTATTTGTCGAGGGGGGCGGCACCTGATTTCTGTGATTATTTATAGACACATGTAACGAAAATACCATCATACAAACATCTACTGTTGTTTAAAAACGTGGCATAGGAAAACTCATTTATCTGCTTTGTATCAAATTCGATGTTCATTTGCTGAGGTAAATGAACTGAATCAAACAATTTTTTTAGTAATGTTTACGCTATAATTCATTATACTTATGATAAATCTATTCTTTATTTAACTCATATAAATTGTGTTATATTTGTTTTACCCATAGCAGGAATATGTTCCATTAGTCGTAAGTTGAAGAGATATTTTCAGCAATACTTTATCAAGTTTGACGACTGTAATTAAAATTGTACCTAACTGTTACGACTGAAACTGATTTGTCTGTGTTAATGATATCGCCTTCAGACTGATCTGGCTCGGCTTAACGGAGACCGAAAAGACGAATGGAAGGTAATGTTTGACTTGACATCAAAAATAGATCAAGACTAAGATGCTGGAGAAGATTTGTAGCCCAGGTGGGTGATTTTGATGTAGTTTTGTTCTCTGAGCTGGATGGTTTGATCGTGGAGCTTTCATCGCCCTTCTGAACGACATCATCAGCACAAACTTCGGGTAGAAGTATTTTGTGGTTTGATTAGATAAAATTTTCGATTGTTTAAATCGGTGAATAGAATGTTAATCAATAGATGAACGCAATGCTCCTCAAGAGACTGTATTGCTAACTAAAGGCCCAGAATGCTGAGAAATCAAGACAAGATCACTGGCCAGATGACGTTTTTCATACAGTAAACTAATATGTTCGTGTACAAAAATTTACACAAACTAATCATTGTAAAATGTCACAGGAGATTTGAGGAAATTAGCTTATATGAAGCCAGAACAAACATTGATGCAGAATAAAATGAATTCATTATATTTTGTGGTTTCTCATCAGCTGCTTACAACCATATATATGTTGAAAGTTGACATTGAGGTAGGACATTACGTAAAACAATCGACATAAATGAACGAAAAGAAGACCTTTGTCATTTTTATTTTTTTCGTTCATCTATGTCGATTGTTTTACATAATGTCCTACCTCAATGTCAACTTTCGACATATATATGGTTGTAAGCAGCTGATGAGAAACCACAAAATATAATGAATTCATATTATTCTGCATCAAAGTTTGTTCCGGCATTATTCCATTTAATAAAGGGAACCAATTGTATGAAATTAGCGTGTAAGTCATTCATTCCTTAATCAATTAAAATCTGTGTGTTGAACCTAATCTTTGTACACCATACCACCACTCCCACTAAATGATGTGGGATATTTTGTGGCAACAATAGTGAGGTGATAAGTTTGCTTCCCTTCGTATATTCTTTAGTTTCATTTATCTATTCAACAATGGTAATACTTGAAATTATCGTGGTTAGGAGAAATTTGTCATCGTTCAATAGTTTCCCAGCCGGTACTGGGTTACCTTCAAATGATACGAAATTTCAGATAAATACAAGTATACACTTTACCGGTATCACGTGTATAATGAAGTTTTATATCACTGATTGACTTCCTGTTAAGAAACCAACTTAATCCAGGATGAAATGAACATATGAATCCCTAGGTTAATTTCGGTAGTAGTTCAATTACGATAATATACTAGATCAATACAAAAATATGTTAAGATTGTAATCAACTTATCCTACAATGCATTATCATCAAGAGAGTAAATTCATCTCAACGTCAATCGATCGAGAGCAACCGATTGTACTTTATAAGCCATTTATTAAAAGATTGTGGCAATCGAAAATCAACTTGTTATAATATATCATTGTTCCTTACAGCATGAAGTGTAATGTGCTAGCGCTACTGATACACATAAGTCAAAAATATAGTTATATTCATGAAAACCAGGAAAATCTTCGGTTTTAGAACAGTTAATCAATTAATTTCACAAAATTTTTAAGATTCAAAGCTCAATATTTAAATGAGGCTGATAATTAACAATATATAAACTGCATTTTAATATAACAAACACGATCGCTAATAACCTACATATTTCTTCATATACTATTATAAATTCATTAAAAAATTAAACTGGCGTATGCTATTTTTGGTTTATGTGTGTAATACTTAAACCATCCCGTACATTTGTAGTAGATAATGCCAACGGCCTGAACACCGTCGTACGTTTTTATACTCCTAATGCTGAAGGATACTTAAATTAACCTTGTACAGAAAACCCAATTCTTAGTTAATCGAAAACTGGGTTTTAAGAAAGAATGATTTATAACACGAAGCAATTAAAACTCAGGATATGTACACAGTTTGTAAATCATCTATAAATTTCTTCACGTTCATGAATCGTTTTTCTTATCTTGATATCAGACTATTTTGTTTATAAGACTGATAAACACTTTTCCTTGTGAATCTTTATAGGGGTGAAGATAGCTTATTATGCGCCTTCACGTTCTCTCCATGTTATCCATATGAACTCTCCTAACATCACTCACGAAATATTACTGATGGACAACGACTTTATGATAGTATCCTTTTTTCTTAAGACATCTGTAATTCATTCAATGTTCAAAGTAATCTTTATCAAGATATACCTTTTAATTATTAAATAAATATATAAATCTTTCAGTTTTTTGACATTCTGAAAGCTCCTCTTCGAGAAACTTATATTCCATACAACAACAACTAAATACAGCTACACAGAGCAATTCACTACACAATCTCATTTCAATTACTTGTCATATAATCTATAATAAGCGACCTATTTTGATTTTAGGGTATGGTTCAGTGATAACATCATGATGATCTTGAGTATCAATCTTAAAAATAATTGGTTTCACCATAAATTAAACATTTTATTACCTTTGATGCGCAAACATTACTAGGTTATTGAAATATTGACTAATTTACATAGTTATTAGTTTTAATAGATTTTTGATACTTTGATTACTTACAGATTTTCAATATCGACTGCATTTTTCACCATTGTAGTTTGTTGATCTATTTTATTCAGATCTGTGTAAATTCTATATTACCTAGATTAGTAAACAATATCACATTTCAATGTGGTAAAATTTGTGAAGTATGTTGAAGTATGTTATTAATCACATACGTTTATGGGAATCTTCTTATTTTTTTAATTAAATCTTTCAGATTTACTGATCAGGTGTGAAAAAAAAGTCAATTTCTTTATTAAAATAACAATGTAATGATATAGATAGCTTAAAATTCTGTAAAAGTTTGAATACAGAACGACTTGCAAAACACTAAATATTAGTTAAACAATAACGACAACAACAACAACAAAATTAACACCAAACGAAAAGTAAATTCGATATAATCAATTGAACGATAGGATTAATAAGAAATTGTTATTATTTACCTGAGATATTCACCTACCTCAAATACATATTCTAGACTGAAAATAATTAATCTTTTTTATTGCTGATAATAACATCAGATAAAATAAAATAGGATGCTAATTAATAATTCCATGTTTCAGGGAAGTCTAGTCTTGTTGAGTATGAATCACATATAAATTCCTAATTCACGTATCAATTAAATTTTTGTCATTTTGTATCAGAGGAGAGCGATCTAAGAAACATCCTATTTATGTTTTGGTCTGAACAGTTAATGCATTTCACTTATCGTGGTAAATTTATAAACAATATTGGTAAGAATTATGGTAGTTTAACAGTTTAAAATTATTCAGATCTACTTTCAAAAATATGCATCTGTCTACATTATTTATCATTAAGTGTATATATAGTCTTTACAAAATTTGTTGTTGCATAAGAATGAATTTGCTCACACCTTAAGAAATATAAGCTGTACATGAAGCAATATCCAATAGATAGAAGCGTAACGACATTTGAATATGCAGCTACATCACTGGATATTAACACTCACATCTAACATGTATATGTAAATGGTCAGAATGTCGTAAAAGTATTAGAAACAGGCGTTGACTTTTGTCTAACTAGTCAACTGGATTCTTCCCCTTGAAACTCATTTATGACTTTTACAATTATATAGAATCAGAATCCAGCCTTGACCTACTGGAAGTGATTTCGACATACTTTATCTGATACTATTGTAGTAAACAAGAACACAGGTGGGGACAATCGGATTACAGACTATCTCACTAAAATCTGATAACCATACAGTAAACAGTTAATTTACAAAATAACAATCCATTGTTTCTGCAAATACCAATCCATCTTCTCTAATTTCCTTGTTTATGCACTTTCATACCAACTGCGCTTCATTCCTGCTCTTTCCTTATCGATCTTCTAGTGAAATACATTCTATGCCTGACCATCACCATATACTACTTGTGTGGATGTAAGTAACCCACACTACACTATTAGTTCAGACTGGTTCTCCAGTCATAAATATTTCAAAGTCAAAGGCAAGAGAGTGAGTGATTGCGTAGTTAGCCAACAAAAATAATAATTGAATTGAGAAATGGAATACGAATAAATAAGATTATAAGACATAATACCTCCAATTACCACTGAAATGTTCATAAAGATGACTTTCAATATAATTTAGGATCTTTATTAAATTCACATAGCAAAGCACAAAAACTATTTTGACAAAACAACATTCTGTATATTTCATTTGGAGAGGCACACAAAATTGTTTGAATGAAGTCAAATAACAGTGAATCATTAAAGTTGACATTATTGTCCGATGTAAAATCGATGTTTCTAAATAACTAATAAATTGAGAGAAAATTCAATTATATAACTTGAATATACATAAGATTATACCACTTAGAAATCAATTCATAACGAAAAAGACGCAAATATCCATTGAATCAAGTTGTCACATTACATTCAAAATCACTAGACGAAATCAATAAAATAAATGTCAAATTAGTAAAATTAGTAGCAGTATAATGAAAAATATAAAAACTTTTTGAAAAATCAACTACTAATGGGATTATAAAGTCTGACTTACTTGTAATTTTACATAAATGAACAAGGACAAGTTGATGATTATGATATAAGAATACATAGAATTGTTTAGTTATCTAAACGGTATGCACCAAGGCTATGAACTTATTCAAATATTACTAGATTTCATCTCTTTACTTTTTTAAAACTACTTGTTCTTTATTTCTTCACTTCATCGTATACTTCGAATTATGAATGTAGCGGCGATGATTTAGGTCAGATAGTCAAGTCTTAACTTCAATGATAGGTGCATTACTTAAATTACTTCCTATGATATATAATCATACTTATCTTTTACTAATATTTTATGTGTGTAAATTACTCTTCCACCCTTAAAAAGACTTTAGTTTTCTTCCTGCTTTTTTTACATTAATCCATTAAGAAGCTTCACTTCAATAATTCAATCTCATGAACATTGATCAGTAGACCATAATGTTTTCATTGTATATCATCTATCAAATATTATTCTATCAATACATCTTAACAATTCAAAGCCATTAATCACAAATCTAAAATTTTCCGCCAAAATAATTATTCTTTGTAATACGAAACTTCACCAGAACATATCTTGCAATTATTTTGATAATCAATAATT